AAAAAAAAAAAGAGGAGTATTTCATAAGGACAAATAAATTAATTTATCAAGAAGATATAAACATCATTAGCTTACAGCTGACAAACGAACTTCAAAATACATAAAACAAAAATTGATAGAATGCACAATTTCTGTTGGAGACTTACTTCAACACTACTTATTTAATAGAAGAAATTAAATGTAAATCATCTTGAAACTATACAGGGGTGAAAACTACCATAAGCCAACAGGAACTAAGTGACATTTATAGAACACACAGCAGCAGAATATACATTGTTTTTAAGTGCACATGGAACACTACCAGGGTACACCATACTAAGGGTCACAAAACAAACCATAGCAACTCTATTTCACCATAATAGAATTATAGAATTCTTGGAATTACTGATAGTAATTACTAGATCTAACAGAATTACTGATCTAGAAAATTCTTAAAATACTTGACAATTAAGCACTACATATATTATCCATACGTCGAAGATGAAATCACAGAGGAAATGAAGTACTGTGATTTGCACAAAAATGTATTTTCAAAACCTGTAGGGCAGATAAACAGTGCTCACAGAAAAATTTAATATTTCTATACAAGAGCATTTCTCAATGAACTTTCCTCTTAAGAAACTGAGTAGCAAAATAAAATGCAAGCAGGAAAAAAAAAATCGAGAAAAATAGAACCAAAAAGTGTTTCTTTGAAAATACTGTTATATACTTCTAGTATATAAGATCAAACCATAACTAAAACCACCTAAGAACTTTGCTTCAAAAATTTAAAGTCAATTTTAAACTCAATACATTTCAATAATCTGGGAAATCAAAACCTGAAAGAATTATGGTTCATTGTTTATCTTAACTGTATACTATAGATACATAGTGTTTTTTTGCCTTTTCGTGTTTCCTCTTGTTTTCAAAAGCCTAAGGGAATTACTTACAGCTTTAAGGGTCAGATCACACTGGAAAACAAGTGTGCGGAGCTGTGCTAAAACTTCTCTCTTGGTATTTTCGAGATCGTTTCGTCTTTCTTCAACGTGTGTCATACATATTTTGTAGAGTTCATTTGCTTCTTCTACCTTTAGGAAAATATGTAAATAAAAGTGGTCACTAGAATTAATATCTTCAAACTGTCATTGTAGTAAAGGTAAATTTAAATTGTTGAAAAGTCTTTATTCATGAATATTCTGAAATATTCTACAGTTTAAGTTGAATATTTCTACAGATAAACGATCCCTTTTGCTCTGAAATTCAAGGGCACTTTACCTTAATGAAGAGCCAAGTGTGACTTATAATTAGTATATTGACTATCTACAACCTAAATCCATACTTCTATCTAAAATTGCTTTTACTTTTTAAAGTTTTAATTTTCTTATAATCTTACAGATTTGTTTATCAAATTCTATGTTCCAAAATAACAAAGTTTTAGCTTATCCTTGTGATTGCTAGTTGTTGTTATGTGCCACTGAGCCAGACCGACTCATAGCTGACCCTCAAGGCTGTAAATCACACAGAGGAGACTGCTCCTCTTTCTCCTGAGCAGCAGCTAGTGGATTCTAACCATGTACCTTTGGGTTTGCAGCACAACTCCTCACCACTGTACCACTAGAACTCTGCAGGATGTTAGAATTAGGACATACAGGATTCTATAGAATTATGTTAGAATTAGCACTATAGCTCCTTCAATGTTAGAATTAGCATGTACAGTTGTTGTACGCTGTCGAGTCAGAACCAACCCATAGTTGACCCTTCAGCAGGATTTCAGAGGCAGTAGATCACAAAAGAGGAGACTGTCCATCCATCTGTTGCAAAGCAGTTGGTGGATCCAAACCACACACCTTTGGGATTTCAGCGAAGCTTCTTTCCACTAGGCCACCAGAGCTCCCTAGCACATACAGCTTCCCAAAAAAGCAAACTTACTAAATCATCAAGTAAAAATATTCAATTATTATCTTCATCAAAACCTCTTTTCATAAACAAACCCAAATTTCAAGAGAGGCAAAAGTCTATCAGCACCGTGGTGCTCAAAGTGTGGAGACCACCCTGTTTGCGGCATCTGTGTCATCCGGGAACTTAACAGAAGTACAATCGATATTCTTCCAGTCAGTATCCTACACCTACTGAAGCAGACACACTGAGGATGGCACCAGTAATCTTGTACTCCTGCAAAAATTTTATAAGCAAGGCCATACTGCTAATTCAACTTGCAAATAACAAAAGAGATTCTTACTTTTTGAAGAGCCTCCTCTTCTAGCTTGCGCTTTTTTTCTAGCTGTTTGTTAAGACTTTTTGCTAATCCTCCACTTGAGGCCAGGTGTTCTTCCTCCGCACGGGACATGGAAGATTTTGCTTTTTCATATTCATCTTGACGTTGTATGCACAACAATTTTGCTTTTTTAAGAGCAGTCTCTGTTTCAAGCTATACACACAAGAGGGGGAAAAAATAAACACAAAACATGGAACAGATTCTAATGGGTAAGTTTCTGATTTGGCATATTCTGCCAAACATTTAAGATAATGTTTTAGAAAAGCTATGGAGTAAGGCAGATATTTAGATGGTCTTAGGCATTTGAAATGATCTCTCTCTCTCTCACACACACACACACACACACACACACACACACACACACACGAGAAACATCAATATCATACTAACCATTTTATTTTGTTGCTCTTTCCAAAGTTCTTTAACTTCTTTTCTTTGTTTTTCCATTTCATTTTTTCTCCCAAGTAAAGGCTGTCAAGAAAGTGTAAACGAAAAAAAATGTTTTTCTTCAAGATATGCTGTTATAAAAAAATAGTGTGTGTTCTACATGTAAATTTATTTTACCTGCACAAATTTGTTCGCTTGGAGAGCTGCAATTGTTTCTTGTAAAAGTTGACTGCTCTGTATGTCATTAAGAAGAGCACTGGTAAATAACGACTTCAGTGGCATGAACTCCTAGAAATGGAAATTGCAAAGAAAATTTTGTTCACAGAACTAAAGTAGAGTTCAAGATCCTATCACTACTCTTTCCCAGAATGAACAACTAACTGTCTTTTAGACTATTTTTCTTTCAGAAAATGACTAGTCATAAACATGAGAAAAATGCTGAGTTAATGTTAACAATAATTAATCATAAAACTAGTTAGCAAAATTTGTGGCTTTCATAATAATCAACATTAGTACAGACGTGTTAATGTCATTTGTTTTGTTTTTTAAAATTATATACTGATTTATTTACAAAGTTAGAATACACTGTTTTCAAAAGATCCTTCCCATTTCCTTCATCCCCCACTCATCAAATTGTGCAATCCTATGGTTAACACCCCATCCCCTCTTCCAACCATCCTCACCTTTCTGCTTCTACCCTCTCCCCACTTGAATCCTTACATTCATTTTACAATAATGGTTTTATACAGTATTTGTCTTTGTGGGACTGAGTTCATTTACGCAACATAATGTTCTCCAGTTCCTCCCAAGTTAGGTAGTAATTCCATTTCTTATATTAGATATGCATCTAAATTTGAAAGGATTTTATTAAGCCAATGAAAAGATTAGCATTTAAGTGCTTTCCTATATTAATTACACAAATGTCTAATTTTGCAGGGCACCATCAGGTACTTATCAGAGTAATCTCTTGTTACAGAATCCAAAAGTTTACAAACTCTTACATGTAGTCCAATGTTTGCTCTTGTTGCTTCTGCCAACTTGACAATATTTCTAGTGGACTCCAATTCTGCAAGAAGAAAAAATTTACTTTTCTGATTATTTGTCATTATCCAGTTTAAAAGTGATCATAAACACTGGACTGTATGATGACACAAATGCAGTGATTTTTTTAGTCCAAGGAACTCATCAAAACCAACTGGGAAACTTTCCGAATCACTTGCCTAGACCAACGCACTGAGAGGAAAGGGACCTGTTATTATCAGATACCATCAGATCAGTTTTGACTAATAGAGACCCTATAATACAAAAGAACAAAACACGGCCTCGTATCACATCCTTCTCACAATAGGACTTAGGCCTGGGTACTATCCTTTATAAGAATCACTCAGGTGATTCTGATGGATACTTCCTATTAATAGAAAACAATGAAATGGAAATAATACATAGGATTAAGGTTACAGTCTATATTTTTCCAGTTACTAAGACAAATTAAGTTTTAATTGTCTCAGTGGCAAAATTGAAATAATAATTCTTGTCCTAATTCTCAGGGATTTGTGAGGACCAGATGTGAAAATATTTGGTCAGTTGTGAAAAACCTGAAAAATATTAGCTATCAAGATGTTCTTCCTATACTTTCATTGCATATAGTTATTGATACCTTAATAATACCTGATTTTCTTTCTTTTTACTTAACTAGATTTCCTTAAAGGCAAACAGTATTCTATTTGTCTTTATAGCTCTAGATTTAATAGTTGACCTATAGTAAACGTCCAGTAAGTACTCGTAGTGAAAGAAGATTCCCATTTTAAGAGAAAATAGACAATGACTGTACTCATTACAATGCAGCCATTACTAATCTGGAAATAACATTACCCATAGTTTGTACAAAAGGAACCTCATACAACTTAGTTCTTAAGGGTAAAACTGATCAGATGCCTCAAAAGGCAACTTACCCAAGTTAAGCTTTTTCTCAACCCATGAAACTATGTTCTTGGTATATTTTGACCACGTTTTAGCATATGACAAAGCCAATTCTACACAGTCACTGTTCTTTACCAAAACATTGTCTAGTTCTATAGGAGATAAATTTCCTAAAAAGAGAGGCATTAAGATTAGTATATTTTATATATGATCATGTAACAATTCTAAATAAAGCAGAACTCAGATTCTAAGAACTGGTTTTAAAAAACTGACAAATTTAGAACTAAAGGGTAATAATTTAAAGTTAAAATGCTTTAATATTATAATAGGAATGTGTTTAGCTTAATATGTATTTTTGTTATTCATCAAGTGGCAGCCCTATTAAAATTCTTAATCAGTCTGTATCATTAAATTATTTTATCTACTTTGGAGAGGTTTCTATAGGTAAAACTCCTAACCATTTATGTTAAAATTATTTTCATTAGATTACTAAGCAAGAAGAATTCCAAAACATTTCTCTAAGTAATAGAAAAAGTTTGACAAAAAAATACATTTTTTTTTACCTTTCTCACTAGATGAGTCAACTGATCCCACAGAAATATTTTCAAGTGACTTAAAACATGAAAAAAAAAGAAATTTTAGATTAGAACAGAAGATAACAGATCTTTGCTTCAGAAATACTTCCCCCAATTTGTTAATTTAACATAATTCTTACTAAAGAATTTCAAGTATTTCAAACTAAAAGGGCCTGAGAAATCTATTTAAGTGTTAAGATTTTTACAACCAGCAGTTTTCAAGATCCAAGAATGAACAATCTCATTGTTTACTAACAGCATTAATGAACATTAGTGAATCCATTCAATACTTTAAATAGTGTAGTTTCAAAAAATGATTAAGTTTGAGAACCAATCTAATAGGCTGCTATTTAAATATTAGATCCAGATCTCTTCCATACACCATTGTGTTTTATGGTAAACATTTCTCTGAAAGTCCATAAGAGAGCTTAGTGCAATCTTTTCCATGATGATGGAAATATTCTGTATTTGTACTGCCCAACACAGCATCTGCTAGCCATAGGCAGCGACTGAACACCTGAAAGTGGCTAGGATCACACCTGGAAAGGTGGAGGGTCAGCAAAAGGGAGGAAGTCTCTCCATGAGATGGAGGGACACAGTGACTGTCTCAAGGGGCTTGGGCTTGAGTAAATCAGACCTGATGAGGCTAGACCCCAGGATAGGGAAGAATTCAGATCCATTGTTCACAGGGTCGCTAAAAGGCCTAGGGGACTCAATGTCACCAAACAACAACGGTGTGAATAAGAAGCAAATTTGTAATTTTAATTAATGAAAAGTGTTTTATGTGCCTAGTGGCTATCTCATCTGACAGTGCAGAAAGATACTGTGACTGTAAGATCTTAAAGGAATTTATCTTAAAGAGAGAAATTGGGGAAACATGAAGTATTCAGGGATTTAATGTAGGATCAAAAACGTGAATTTGAAGTACAGCTCTACTAATCAATAGAATTATCTAGGCTCCCGAATGCTATCTTCACAGGTTGTTTTAAGAATCAAGATGAGGTAGGTTTAGTACAGTACATGGTACATGTTGCTACTGCGTGCTGTTGACTCAGAACCAACCCATAGCTGAACCTTAGCAAGTTTTCAGAGGCAGCAAATCACATGGGAAGATACTGCCCATCCTTCTCCCACAGAGTAGCTGGTGCATTCGAACTGTGTGCCTTTGGGATTCAAGGCTGCTTCTTACCAGTAAGCCACCAGAGTTCCCTAAATAAATGGCAAACCCTTTATCAAATGAAGTAATTTTATTATTAAAATTACATTTTCATGGGTCTTTTCATTCTAATTCTTTAGCCTAAATTTAAAAACACAAAAGGGAAGTAAAAAAAGTACACAGGAAAAAAATTTCTTAACGATTAATATATATTTTCAATAAAAGTATAAGAAGAGGAAATACTATTTACATCTAAATTTTAAATTGTTCAGAGCCTTGCCATAGAGGCTGGCTGGGTTTATCCCCCCTCTTATTTTCTGATTAATAGTAATAACTATTTGAGGGGGAAAAATTAAGGAAGGATAATGAGTAAGTGCAAAATAATGATTTTAAAAGTTCTTCATTACTCTAATAAGGTTTATATACTAGTCTCCTTCACTTAACCATGGATGGCTTCAGAAATAATCATATTTTTACCAATACTGTAATACATTTAACAAATTACTAGAATGGTCATTCACATTTTACATGATTTAAAAAGATGGTTTGATTTTTTGTTTGTTTTTACTAGTTATCTTTTTATTTATCTTTTCATGTCTACAATACTAGTATTATACAGTATGTGTCCTTACAAGACTGAATTAGTTCACTCAGCATAATGTTCTCCAGTCTCTCCCAAGTTAGGTAGTAATATACAAAATCATTGTTCCTGCATGCTGCGTAGTATTCCATTGTGTGAATGTACCATAATTTCTTAATCTGTCCGCTTGCAGTTGGACTTTTGAGCTATTTCCATGTTCTCGTGGTGGTGAATAATGCTGCTATGAACTTTGTTATAAAAATCTCCCCTGTGCCTCAGTTCAAATTTTCTCAGGGGATATTCAAAGCAGTGGAATAGCTGGGTCATAGAAAATGTCTATGTTCAGCTTTTTGAGGAAGTGCCAAACTGCCTTCTAGAGTGGCTGTTCCATTTTACAATCCCACCAACAGTATATAAGAGTTCCTATATCTCCACATTATTTCCGACATTTATTACTTTGCTATCCTGTTAAACTTTGCCACTGCTACTGGAGTAGGATGGCTTAAAACGTTTAGTATTATGTTGATAAAGTACATATGCCTGGCACATTTTTAAATATTTGGTGAAATCCTTCTTGGATTTAATAATTTTTATTAGAAAATGATCAACATATGCTCCTACTGTAGTTTGTTTATATATCTTGTATTTGGTAGGGGAATCCAATCAACTGAAATATTACTACTCTTAGTTTTAAAGGCAATATCCGACATATATTCCTCATGTTCTATTATTTTAAAGTAATTTTTCTTCCAATTGAGAATCATATTCTTGTCCTTGTGACATGCTTTTAAGGACATGCTTATGGAGAATTAAGACCTCCAAGGTTGTTAACAAGTGTTTCATAGTAACAAGCATTAACTGCGTAATGTGTGAAAAGATTAACACCTTCTCTACTTGCATTTACAAGTGCCTACCACTCTTTAGGGTCTGTTATAATGTAAGGAGGGAAAATGGTTAAGAATTACTAAAAATTTAAACTATAGGACATTTAGATTCATTATATAAATCAGCAATATCCTTTAATATATAAGTAATCTTTTATTATTCTCTTTCCTTTATTGGCTAACATTTAGTCAATTACATAAACAGTTTCATTACAATATTTTGGCTGTAAAGTATTGCTGATCAGTTTGCTTCCAAGAAGGCATCTGCATTTTTCTTCAGTAGATCTTCTAAGTTACTTAATTGTGAAAACGTACTTTCTCTTTTAAATAAAATATTTTATTTTAATTGTGATTTTATAAGTTTACAGAAGTTAATTTTCATTCATTCATTGTTGCACTTTTATATTTTTTCAAATAGCAGTTCCACTTAAGAAGAATCATTAAAAATAACTGCTCGAAAATAGTATACAAAATGGATGAACTTGGAGGACATAATGCTGAGTGAAACATCTCCGTAACAAAAGGACAAATACTGCATAGGGCCACTGTTATAAAATGGGACTGACATCAGGGTTGAGGGGAGACTGAGAAAGAGGGAAAAATTATGTATACTGCATTGAAACAGATGAGGGAGAGAACTATTTAAAAGCAATATATGATTAGGTATTATTATCATGATAGGAGTCCAGAATAAAGGCTGCAGAGAGGAGTGGACTTGAGGGGAGGGACTGTATAATAATGAAAGAATTTTTCTTTTACTTTTCAAAGAGAAGAGCGAATTGTGGGGGAGGGGTAGGCAAGGAGAAAAATGCAACAATGAATGAATGGAAATCCAAAGTCTCTGTAAACTATTCAATTAAAATAAATAATAAAAAAATAAATAACTTTTCAAGAAACTAATCACTGATTATCATCTAATATGATCATGATTTAAAGTCAAACTGATCTTGTTTTCTTGCTATAATGGAGTAATTTACAAGCTTAAAGATCATAACAAACTAAAGCTGAAATAAAGATTAGAAAGTAATTGAAAATTAAATTAAAAATGTAAGTCTTTGTTTCCACATAAACTTAGCCTACCTTGCATTCCTGAGACACAGGTAGTTGCAATACTGACACATTGCCTAAATCTCCCATGAGGAAATTTGTAAGGCTATCCAGAGGCAAAGAAAGAAATAAAAAGAAAAGTCATTAATTACACTACTTTGCCACTAACTATACTCAACATGTCATCTAGGATAATTTCTTTAAAGTGAAAATTCAGGGGCAGAGTGGTAGAGGAGGAACTCCTAAGAGTTTTCACATAAACCATAACTGAAACATTTGCAAATGATTGTTGCATTTAAACAGCTATAAAACAATTGCTGTCAACTCTCTGACTCATGGTGACCCCATGTGTGTCAGGGTAAACTGTGCTCCACAGGGTATCTAATGGCTTATTTTTTAGCAGTAGACTGCCAGAGCTTTCTTCACTTCCTTTTCAAAAGGGCCTCCAAATAGCTCTAAAGACACCTTCTGAAATAATACTATATAAAGCAGTTTTACCAAAGTTTAAAGGTTTACTATTTCATTTCCATGTATTTTAATGAATTTAGTGGTACACTCTAAACTCAAATATATTTAAATGATAGTTCTCTACTTACATCTTCCCAAAGGTAAATGCCAGTGCTTCAATAGAAGAAAACACCTCTTGGAAGGTATCGTTTTTGTTTTCTTCATTAATTTTTTTGAAGTTCACAGCTATAGGGAAAGGTTAGTTACAAAAACATGAAGATAAATATATTTAAACTTTATGTAAAGAAAGGCATTTGTTCCTCTAAACTATCATCTTACTTCTAAAAGCATTACAAGATACAGAAACTGAAAAGCCCAGTAAGCAGAATGGACAATATTTTCAACTTCTTTAAGAAAATCATACAAAAGAATCAGCTCATATACAAGTAGCTGGCATTCCAAACTATTCCCTGCATTAAACAGCTGACACATTAAACAACAGTGATTGAATGTGAAGTCAATTGGACGTGGAGTCATGAAGTATATGTTACACCCAACAGCTCTCACTCCAAGTACTCTTGCTTACTTTAAATGAGCTAGACCGTAGCTCACTTAAGTAGAAATATGAAGTACAGTTTTTACTATAAATTACGAATAAGAGAAGTCATATATGCATCTGACCTAACACAAAATTCTTTAACAAAATAAAACCTGAAACACATGAGCTGCTGCACTGCAATCAAGAGGCAAGAAATAAAGTGGAGAGGAAGCCATCCTTTGCTCTAAAACAAAATTGTTCTAAATCGTGAATGCACATTAGAACCTCACGGAAAGTTTTTAAAACAAAGAAAGTTTTAAAAAAAAAAAAAAAAGAAAGTTTAGAGTCCCAAGTCAAAGATTCAGATTGGTGAGACATTGCTATTTTTTCCCAAAACGATCCCACATGCTTTTGATATATAACTATGGTTGAAAGTTCCTTACTGGAAAGGATTCCTTGGGCAGTGATCATTCAAATTTCAAGTCCATTGTTGTTGGGTGTCTTCGAGTCCTGGCTACGACATGTATATCTTTACCTCCCAAGTAAATCCTGAATTCACCAGTATTGTCTTTTTACCCCGTTTAATAGGAAATGTCTCCTTTAACATTCCAGAATGTAAATATCTTAGGAATTTCAGGCCATCCAGTGTCTATTACCACACTTTAATCTTGTACTATGAAAGCAGTCATAGAAAACATGTAAGTAGAATGGCTGTGTTCCAGTAAAACTTTATTCATAAACAAGCAATTCATATATAGTATATCAAGATTTAGTTTGTCCAGCCTGGTTAGGAATATGAATTATAAAGCCAATATTTGCCCATGTTTTTCCTACAGAGCAGCTGGTGAATTCAAATCACCTCCTTTGGATTGGCAGCACCGTCCTTTCCCATTAGGCCATTGTTGTTGCTGAAGTTATGCTGTCAAATCACTTGAGACTCATCGCAACCCTATATACAATAGCTCTAAACCCTGCCCTATCCTGAGCCAATCTCACTGTCTTCAACACACCTATCCCTCACCCCCATTACCCCAGTTACTGTGTTAATTCATCTCATCTAGGGTCGTCTTCTCCTGTGCTGTCCCTTCACCGTTCCAAGCATAATGTCATTCTCCAAGGACTGGCCCCTCCTGGCAACGTGCCCAACGTTGTGAGATGGAGTTTTAAAATCCCTGCATCCAAGGATCAGGTTGGTTTCATCCTCTCTAGGACAGACTCGTTTGTACTCTTGGTAGTCCACGATATGTTCAAGACTTGTCTCCAGCACCACAACTCAAAGGCATCAATTCTTTTTCTATCATCTTTAGTCACTGACCAGCTCTCTGATGAAGCCGCAAAATCCATAGCTTGGCTCAGGCACACCTTAGTCTCCAGACTGACATCATTGCTCTTTAGCATTTGGAGTGATCCCTGACAGCAGATTTTCCTACTGCAATTCGTCTTTTGATTTCATGATTGCTGATACCAAGAGTGTTGATTGTGGATGGAGCCAAGGAAGCTGAAATTGTTAACATCTTCAGTCTCTTCTCCATCTATCATAGTACTGCCAATTGACCCAGTGGTGAAAATCTTTGTTTTCTTGATGTTGAATTTTAATCCATATTGAGGACTACAGTCCTTGATCTTTTGTAGCAAATGCTTCTGGTCCTCCTCAGTTTCAGCAAGCAAGGTTGTGTCTGCATAACACAGGTTTATGATGAATCTTCCTCTAATCCTTATGCCATATTCTTGCTTATAAAGTCCAGCCTCCTTAATGATCTGTTTGGCATACAGATTGAAAAGTATGGAGACAGGATGTATCCTTGACGCACTCCTGATTTTGAACCATGCAGTGTTCAACCATGATAGATGCCTCCTGGTCCAAGTATAAGCTTCACTACAGCACAATCAAGTTGTCTCAGATTCCCATTCTCCTCAAGGTTAGCCACAATTTATTGTGAGCTACCCAAATGCCTTTGCAATCAACGGAAATACAGACAATTCTCTGGTACTATTTCAGAATACAGCAAAGACTTTAATAAATAATAAAAAAGGAAAACTAAGGAGAATGCTATTGACATCTCAAAATAGAAAAATCCTTCATAATAAGAAAATTCAGCAACTATAAAAGAAAAGATTGATAAGGTTAACTGGAAAAATAAACAGAAAAGAATATCATACACAAAATTAAAAGACAAAAACCAAACTGGAAAAAATCTGAATCTGTATCAAAGACTAAGGGCTAATTTCTCTTATCCACGCATACGTTTCCCCCCATGAATCAATATTAAAAAAGGAAAAAGTAAACTAAAATTAAAACAAGACAAAATTAACTTCCACAAAGAAACTACAAATGACTTTCAAACATATGAAATACTTGAAAGATATGCTCTCAAAAACAGTGAGATGCAAATCAAATCTACAATGAGCTATCAACCGTCACTACTCAAACTGTTAACAACACTTGGTAACCAGCTCTAATAACTCAGGTACATGAAAAATGGCAAGAAATCTACAGAGGACAAAACTGGGCAATATAAAAACTACAAATGTGCATGCACCATCTGATCCAGAAACTACTCATCTAAGAATTTACACAGTCATTCACTAAAAAAAGTTTGTAACAGAAAGATTGAAAGCAATTCTGAAGTCCATTAGTTCTGAACTGATTAAATATAAGTTCCCTGTTATTATTTGCCATTGAGTTGTATGACAAATATTACAACTTACATGTAACATCAATATCAAACTCATGTCGTGGAGGTGATTTTGAGGTTGTCTCTCTCCTGAGAAAAGTGCATGCTGGATTAGAACTGCCAACCTTTCCGTTAGCAGTACGATTATGTTACATACTACATCAACAGGGTCTCTTATATGTAATAGGAAAAAAGGTTGCCCAGTCTTGTCCATCTTCATAACTGGTTGTGATAAAGAAGGCTTTCACTGGCTGATTTTGAGAAATAGCATCAGTGCTGTACCTTCTAGCCTCATAATCACACACAAGCTAACTACCACAGTACAACAAACTGACAGATAAGTGGTGGAAGTTCTGAATACAAAACAAAATAAAACTATGTTCTAGTAAGGAATGAGCAAGAAGCAGAACAAATGTAGCCATTTGTGTAAAAAAGAGTGTGAAAAGAACACATTCTTTTATTTGTGTGAGTGTATATACATATACATATACATATATATATATATATATATATATATATATATATATATATTATTTATGATACTGTTGTTGTTAGGTGCTATCAAGCCAAGTAAGCTCACAGCAGTCTTATGAACAATAAATCTGACCCCTGTCCTATCCTCCATCCTCACCACGTTCAACACATTGCAGCCCAATGCCGCTGGCACCATGTCAATTTATCTTGTTAAGGATCTCCTTCTCTGCTCTGCATTTCCAAGGAACAGCCTCTCCTAGCAACATGCCCAAAGTATGAGAGACTACACGTTACCATAAGAAATCAGCAATAGTTACTGCTTGGAAGAGAGGCTTCATTATTGCATACTTATTTAGACCATTTGCATTTGATCTGAATTGCCTACTGAGAAGTCTTCAAAGCAGAAAGAAAACATGAAGCTTCTACAATTGTCCATTCATAATATTGGTTTACTTTTCATCTTTGTGAATTTTTAAATATAGGTCAAAAAATACATACAAATACTAAATAAATGGCTCTTTTCATTTACGCTGTAAGTGAAATTGGTCAAAATAATTAAAAATAATTATAACACAAATATTCAATATATCACAAGTTACAGAGTGGTGAAGAATGAATATATCTTTGTTGGTTTCAAAAATAGCCTGTCTCTCCTACCATACTGCAAATATTTTGTCAAGACTGAACTTCCTGCTTAGAAACAGGAGGAGATACAGGAAATACAAATTTCTAACAGAATGTATATGGGAAGCTAGGGATATTTCTTCTCAAGTTTCTAAAGATAAATTCCATTTTTAAAATAAAAATTACATTTTTTCACTTATTACACATATGAAATAGAATACTATTTTAAGATTATATATCCTTGATTTTAAAGCTGTTCTTCAGAAGTTTTATTTTAAAAAAGTAAAACCCATGAAAAACCACAACAAACCAAACATGACAGTGTATCTACACCTATACTACTTGTTATAGAATTGTTGCTGCTGCTGTTACATGCCATACAAGAGACATTCAAAACGGTTAATACCTCCCCCCTACATGCATTTCTAAGTTCTAAAAATAAAGTTACTATTAAATGAGTGAATTAAATGTCCCAATTTTACCTCAGTATTTTTCAGGTCACTGATTATCTTTCAATTGGTGTATAGCTGGTACTTTTAAACAGACTCAAACAAAGAGTGTGGTGGTGAGAAGGCAGCTTTATTTTAAAACATTAAAATTCACTCCATGGAAGACTGACATTATTTGTTTTATTGTCCATTGAGAACAAATTTCTCAAGCACAAAACAATCTTTTCTATTTCATTCATGCATGAAAGTAAAATGGTAATTAATCGTAATTTCAAGGGTAAGGATAATCTTGGTGGGCAACAAAATCCAAAAGATTGCTTTATCTCACAGTCAAAAAGACCCTGGAGGCAGCAGAGAGCTCACCTTCCTCACGTCTATCTCTGGAATGTGGACACCAATGACACACAGGCACACTCCTTCCCCAGGACATCCTGACTGTGCACAATAGCCACAGCCAACAATTGAACTGTGGTTGCTATTTCCAAG